GTTCAGGGTTTTGGGTTTAGGTTTTGTGTGTAGAAGTTCTATCGGGTTGTAGAATCACAGAAGGACCTTACAGTGTCTTATAAGGATTGCTACATGGTGATTTGCAACAACCTCCCCTTAAAGTCCCTAGTTCCGCAAAGCCCTCTTTTAATACGGTCCAGTCACTACGAAGCCGATATTATGAGATGGTTCTTCCGCCCACATGCGCAACGTTCTGCAAACAGGGTCTTGCACTGGTATACCGACTACAATACAAATTACATACAAGTGTGTGCATATATACACCCACGCGCGTATAGACATATAATATATATATATATATCAGGGTTCTCAAGGTGTTGGAAAACCGCTGAGTGCCAAGTGCGTCAGTCGACTTATCGCCGAAGGACTTGTCTGCGTTGCTGCCCGGCTTGAGCTCGAGGTGCCGGTGGTACGAGCGCTGTCTGAGCTGGAGGACTCGGCCAAGGAGTCGAAGGTGGACCTGCAAAATGCCAGGACAACTGAGTCCATGAGGTCCAGAGCGGAGCACTATATTGTCATCAGGTTTGAGACTTTTGCAAGACTGGCTGTGCACATACACCCTAAACCCTAAACTACTTCCATCTTGCCGTTGCCAACCGAAACCCGGGAGTCGCTAATCGCGCCAGGCTCCAACCCGACAGCCGCTCGCCGAGAAGCAGATACATGAGGCGAGCTAGCACAAAGGGTTCCTTTCAGGGCTCCTTTATATACTGTATAGGGATTCCTATGAGGGTTACCATAGGGATTCCTATAAGGGCTCCTTTATATGGGTTAACTTTTCTGTGGTTCCTACAAGCGTTGCTGTAGGGATTCCTATAAACGTTCCAACAAGGGTTCCTACTAAAGGCAGGACCTTTGAAAGCATTCGTTTGGGAACGGTTTAGGGTTCAGGGTTTAGGGCTGCCGTAACACCGAGACTTCGGTTACGAGGTCCGTGGCCGAAGTCGGGGTCGGAGCTGCGTGGTGACACCTGCTTGGGAAGATCCGTCGACCGAATATAAGGGCCTAAATAGGGACTTCTAGTATTTTGGGGGGCTCCATAGTATAGTTATAGTATAATATATCCCAAAACCCTATTCCAATGATTAAGGCCTCTACATTAGGGTTTAGGATTCAGGACGATGTGGACGGTGTAGTCTGCATTGTGGTTTCTTTTGTGGGATTACCTTGCAGGATCCTCAATATAAGCCACAAAAAGGAGCTATAACGGAGCCAATCGGTATTGGCTGGCGCTCAGGGTTGAGGCACGTCTTTGGCTTTAAGCTCCGATCCGGGATGAGATCTTCTATCATCACCATGCTGTCATGATGATGATGATGAGGATGATGAGGATGATGGCGATGAGAATCAGCATCCTAAACCCCTAAACCCCTAATTTAGAGGTTTAGTAAACCCTAAATCAACTATGATCATTATCCCTAAACCCTACACCCTCAATCCCCTAAACCCTAAACCGAGTATGATCATTATCCCTAAGCCCTCAAGCCCTAAACCCTAAACCCACTATGACCGTTATCCCTGAACCCTTTCTCGGAGACGAAGCCCTCGGCAGCAAAGGAAGAAATCCTTCTAGTAACCCCTTAGAGGCATCCCCATGGTAACGCTTATAGGAACCCTCAACATAGTATATAATATAAAGGAGCCCTAAACTACACTATGTAGCTGCGAAGCCCAGACTTCTGTCGCAGGTACCCGTGGATCGGAAAGTGAAGGCCTGGCGGTTCAGAGCCGTTGGGGGGAGGGGGTGTGTTTAGGACTTCGGCTCTACTATTCCTATTCCTGACGGATTTTTGGTTTTTTTGGGTGACGTGAAGGGCATTTTCGGTGAGTCTGGCACGCATGTTTTTCAGCAGGAGTTTCCTGAATTTCTGCTGTTTGGTTCTATCGAGTTTGCGACACGAGGTCGCATCCGTGCAGGGCCTCCCTCTTCCAAACATGCACTGTAGGATTTGCAGATGTGCGGCTACAAACTTCTCGGCTCGTACCGACAACCCTAAACGCAACTCCTCTATCCCCTAAACCCTGGTTTGGCCATCAGTCCTTGCATACTGATTCGGGATCTCGAAGTGCAAGCGACCTGCTTCAAATCTGCGTGCTTGCTCCTGTTGTGCTAAGTTCTGGGTATTGATTACTGCCCCTTTTTCTGCAGAGATTGTGGCTAAATTAGATGACACCTATTTCCCTTGTCCTCCCTGTATCGGAAGATGTTGTGCTTAAAAAACGTGGGAGTTGACGAATCCGGGTGGGACGCGGAGTTCCTTCGAAGATTCGTCCGCTCAGCACCGGTAAGACTCCAGGCCTCTGCGAAGCCGCTGCTGGTGTGGGCCCCGGAGAGCTGCTGCGGTGTCTTGGGGTTCAAGGCTTAGGGGTGTAGGTTTGGGGGTTTAGGGGTTTTAGGGTTTAGGGTTTAGTGTTTGGGGGTTTGGGGTTTTGGGGTTAAGGGTTCAAGGCTTACGGGTTTAGGGGTCAGGGGTTTAGGGGCTTGCGGGTTTAGGGTTTAGGGCTCAAGGTTTAGAGGTTCAAGGGTGTAGGGGTGCAGGGTTGTAGGATTTGGAGAGTTCAGGGTGTTACAACATGCCTGCTGCACAGGAGTAGTAAGTAATTCAAACCAGAGACTCACAACCCTCTTAATGTAGGCCCTTGGTTAATAGATCTCCTTAGGCCCAAAGGCCCTAACATTGGGATCCCTATCATACTGAAACTTCTTACGATGGAAGTGCGCTGCTAAGCAAAAAAGCACTGGCTTTGGGTCTAGGGTTTAGGGGTGTTTGGAGGGGCCTGCATCTTGACTCACAGCTAGCATCATCTTGAAAAGGTGGCAAAAACTGCATGCTGGGACCAGTGAACCTGACACGAAGGGCCACAGAACGGCAAAAGGAACGGCAGCAGCCACCCACTGAATCTCCAGCAGGCCAAGAGATGCCGAAATAGTTCACTGAATCTTATTATAATTATAGCACCATATATCCCCAAACCCTATTCTTAAGGCCCCTACATTATTTCACTTGAACCCTTCTCAGGTTCAGCTTCTCGCGGCCACGAGCCTTTGGCCACAGGTGCCTTTTGGGACAAAGAGACGAGAAGAAAGATTAACAGGAACAGCTATCTTCCTGAAACCCCTATTTGCACTCTTACAACCTCTAACGCCTTAAAGCACAACATCGTGAAATCCAAAAGCGCACATGGCAAAAACCAAAATCCGAAGCCCTAAACCCGGGAGCCATAGGGAGCGCTCCCACAGTCGGCCAAGCTAACTTAGTATGACACGGACGAATTTCATGAGCACCACATACGTCAGACTCTTCGCGGATGCACAATGAAATACGGTACACTGTAGTGTGTAATGTATGACAACAGGACAACACACGGCATATCACAGTACACCGTAAATACCATCGCAAGACAACTGATTAAAACATAGCCAAACGTAACACGATGTACCAGAATATGGCCTAGCGAAGCATAGCATAGTATAACATGTAACATAGCCAAATATAGCCAAACATAGTGCAGTATGATGTTGCGTAAGATGAGACAAACTTGCAAAGCATGACATACCGTAACCTGATATTGCAAGAAACCATCATGTAACATAGGATTGCCTGTTGTGTGCTGAAACAAAGGATAACACAACATGTCACAGTATAGCTTAATTGTACGACATCACATGCTATAGCACAGTATACCACACCGTCGCACTGAACTCTAAAGACCTTGTACTATCATGTTGCAGTGTGATATCACAGTGTATTGTGTTATATTGCATTTACTGTGCTATATATTCGAAAATGGGTGAACGTTATATAACATAGTAGAGTATAGCCCCAAGTACGATCATACGTCATATGATGCCCCACAATGTTTGATAAGATTAGCGGTATTACACAGTATCTTATACTTCAACCCAGTCTAACCTGCTCTACTCTACACTGCGCTAATCTGATCCAAAACTAATTAATTATCATACATGAATACACATGTTCTGGTACCTGGACTCTAGACTCAATGATGCTTCGGGGCTTGTATGAAAAGCTTGCCACCCTGTGCATGTTGGTCATTGCTGTTTGGGAGGTCTTGAAGGCCCTGCCGCCGGCACCTCCTCTGGGAGACCTGGCTGCCCCGTTCCAGCAGGTGCGGCCGCCGAGAAACAAACAGAGAAGTAGGCCAAAAGTGTAGAAGCAAGTGTACATCTAAAAGTCTGTGAAGTGTGCACACACCACGTGTGTGTGCGTATACATACATACATACATACATACATACATATATATATATAGATGTACGTATGTATATATTGTCTGGATGCATCTATATGTGTATATGTATGTTATTCTATCCGCACATGCAGGTTTTTCGTGTTTGTCTACTTGCTGAATATACACATCTTAGTGCAAGTTTGTTGTATGTATGCGAAGACCGGAATAGAGAACCGCATTCATGCATGCATGCCTGTGCATGTGCGCGGGCGTGTCTATCCAAACACCCTGCTGTACATATATTAACCACACAAATAATCATATAGGAATGTGTGTAAATTACTGTGTAAATATATGTTTTGTACATCTGGGCGTGCTATGTTTCCATGTCTGTGCATCCACTTGGCTTTATCCGTTGGTTTGGATGTTAAGATGCCAAAGTTTCCCATTCATTATACAGAGCCATTGCTGGACCGTAGTGAATCGAAAGCCATGGGTACGTGTATGTATGCTCGAGTAACAGGTGCATGGAGATGCGAATGTCTCTCCTCTCTCTCTCTCTCTCTCTAAGTACATTCATATACAGATGCATATATCTGTATGTCTACAACTACATATAAATACATATGAATACATATATAAATACGTATATAAACACATATATGTATACTTACACATATACACACATGTTGTTCCGTGGGCATGCTCGTAGATAGGGCACGTCTGTACGCCCAGAGCGGTCAGCATGGGTCGAATCTGAACGGCCTGTCGTGCGACGACTGCATGCTGCTGGCTGTGTCCGTCTTTTGACATGAGTTTACAGGTTTAGTCCAGTGATAGAGTTCTAGCTAGATATTTGTATGTTCTTTGCAATGGTCCCACAGCCTCTCTCCCACAATGTAGAGTCTTGGAATCGACTGCGATGCGCGGAGATCGCGATCTAAACTCTGTGTCTAGACCACGTGACGAAGAAACCTTCCCGGACTGTCCTGTCCCTGTCCCGACCATGTACCACGTGTGTACTATGGGGGCCTACGTAATTACCAATACTATTTTGGGGTTTCTTGTCATGCTTAAACTTATACTATAACATACCCAAAGGCCTATTCTACTAGTTCAGGTGCCCTACATTCTGCTTGGGCGAACGTATAGGTTTCTTCCCCGTGGGAGGCACCACGGAAGCCGGCGACCTCCGTGGGCTTCGACATCTGAGCGCCAACGCAGGGGGCTACGGGGGATGTGAGGTGTTCAGGATTTGGGGTGTAGCGTTTTGGAAGAATCCGAGGTTATGAACGGTGTACGTAGGGTTTAGGCTTTAGGAAGAACCCGAGGTTGCGAACCAAGGTTTGATCTACTTCAGCACAGCTGAACTATAGCAAGGTCCATGAGTAGCTATGTACGATGGAAGCCTTCGAAGCTTCAAGGGCAACGCTTGAATTGTTTGAAAACTGGGGAGAATAGGGGGATCCCCAACCTAATCTGACAGCGAAGAACGCGCTGTGGCCCATGCTCACAGTGGACCAAGGCACGAGAGACTTTTGAAGAAGGCTATGTCTTAAGGGGGTCTATCACAAAATTCTGTATTCAGACTATTCTTGATTTGGTATTGTTGCCACTAGTAGCCTTTATTGTCATCATTACTCTACTGATACGGTCGATGATATAAATCCTGCATTACCCACAAGGAAGATACCATCCCATAGTTTAGGGTCTTTAAGGTTCTGCAGGATCTATATGGGTGGTTGTTAAAATTATGGTCCCTTTTTGGGTCCTTATTATAATACGGCACCTATTATTTAGGGTACCCCAAAAGGGACCATAATTTTGACAACTACCCATATGTCATGAACAGGACGTTTATATAAAGTTCACGCAGCAGAGGTGTGCGGAAGACTAGGTCTCCTCTGCGAGCGGCCATTTTTGGGGGGCCTACTTGGAGGTTCATGGGACTTAGTACAATTGTAGTAAGGGTTTAAGGTCTAGGGTGCAGTGATTAGCATGCTGTAACACCCTGTATGGAACTTCCTTTAAGGAATCCTTAACAGAACCCTTCGTAGAAGCCTTTATAGAACCCTTAATGTTCAACTTCCTTGAAGGTTTAAGGAACCCTTTAAGGAAGCCTTTAAGGAACCCTTGTATAGATCCCTTTAAAAAGAACTAAGTCCCATGAAAAATCCGAGTACCCACTGCATAGAGGATCTTCGGAGTGACCATTGGGCTGAGCCCGACATGGGAGGATCCAAGGGCAGGGGCTGGAGGGGGTTTGTCCAAGCTCGGGATATTTGGGGTTTAGGGTTTAGGGATGTTGGGGTTTAGGGATATTTGGGGTTTAGGGTTGGGGATGAGGGGGTTTGTCCAAGCTGAAGGCTTTTTGGGGTGTTGGGATGTTGGGGATATTTGGGGTTTAGGGATATTGGGATTTAGGGTTTAGGGATACTTGGGGTTTAGGGGGTTTAGGGGCCTAAATAGTTACCAATACTATTCTGGGGGTTTCCTTATTGTAATTATAGTATAAACTACCCCCAGAACCCTATTCTAATTATTAAGGCCCCTATATTAAAGGCTTTGGGGTGTTGGGTTGAGGGATATTGGGATATTGGGGGTTTAGGGTTTAGGGATATTTGGGGTTTAGGGTTGGGGATATGTGGGTTTCCAGGGTTTGGGGTTTAAGGGTTCAGGAGGGGTTTTGTCCGGGCTAAAGGGCTTATACGGGCTTAGGGATACTGGGGTTTGTTCAAGCTCATCTGAAGCTCGGGTTCAGGGTTCAGGGCTTAAGTAGTAAAGGCTTTGGGTTCAGGGTGTAAGGGTTGCGGGTTCAGGGTTTGGGGTTTATGGGTTTGGGTTGATGAGTACAAACCTATGCTTCATAAAGCTGAGAGGATTCCGTGCGTCAGGTGGCACATGCAGGAGCGAAGTGCATCGAGCTTGGCATGTGCATGTAGTTGAGGCTCAGTGGGGCGTTTATCTTAAAGATGCTGGCACGTTCATTTGAGTGGTTTGCAGCAGATTCTGGGCCGTAGCATACTTGCCGGAGAGTTGAATTATGTGTTGCTGGACAACCCCCATCCAAGTGCTGAGATTCAAGGGGACTCGGCTTCTTAGATGTGATCTTGCTGTGGTGCCGATTCGGGAGTGGCTGTCAAAGCCCTCCCGTGTAGTTACGGCCTTCTGTGGGGGGAGTGTACGACACTGCAAGGGTCACCGCAGGAAACAATCTTGTGAACAAGCCGGCGCATCTGCGGGTAGCATGATAGGCTACTTTGGGCCTGTCTCTTCTTATTCCGAAACCATGATTGGAGATAGTGACTTTCTAATTGTGGAGGCCCCTGCGCTAAACCCTTATAGTAACCGTCATTGTAGACCCCTTCATTGCAACCCCTCTAGGAACCCTCAAGTAGTCTTGACTTCATGTTAGTGGTTGCATTGAAGGTTCGGTCCTTGACCGTCACTTCCTACTGGAGGAACCTGATCATAGAACCTATAACACCAAACCATTAGGATCCATACAGAGAACTCAGCAAAGATCCAAGGTTTCCCAATCAGGTTCCTAACAGACCCTATAGATCCCTCAAAGGAGCCCGGAACGGAACCCTAAATGTGCCCTTAAAGGAACCTGAATGGCTTCGTAATCCGGTTCCTACATTGCTGAAGCTCGTGAGCACAGAACACCGTAAAGCACTGCTTCGCGAAGCTTCAACCACTGACAGCCCTGCCTCCACCTTGGGGCTAAAACATAAGATAAATACGTGTCTTTGAGGATACTATAAGGATTCTTTAAGGATACCAATAAGGATACCATAAGTCTTTTAAAGGATACGCTGAGGATACCATAAGTCTGTAAAGGATACCATAAGGATACCATAGGTATACCAAAAACGGATACTATAAGGATAGCATAAGTCTTTCAGGGATACTACAAGGATACCATAAGCCTCTAAGGGATACTGTGATACCCTCCACCCTAAACCCTAATCCCTAAACCCAAACCATAAGGATACTATGGGGATACCATGAGTCTCTAAGGATACTACAAGGATACTATAATAAGTGCTCCGCATCACCCCAAGCCTTTCCCAGATTTTCAGGCGGTTTAGAGTTGAGGGTTTTCGGTGTAAGGATTTGGGCTAGAGGGGTTTGGGGTTTAGGGTTTAGGGTTTAGGGGTTTGGGGTTTAGGGGTTTAGGCTTGAGGGGTTTGGGGTTTAGGGGTTTCAGGCGTTGGGGTCGGAGAGTTTGCGCGGACAGGGCTTCAGTTGGCGATATTGCTTGTGACATTCAGGGATTGGCCCGCCGGGATCTGAGAAGCTTCGTCGGATTGCATTCGGCATCTCTCGCCAGCTGGCTCAAATTCTAGGACCACTGTTGCGATCGACACATGAACAAGTGGGCCAAACTTGCCTTCTAGAAGAGCATCAACCCAGGCCCTTGTCCAAACTACGTTTCTACGCCAGGCAACTGCAAGGTGCCCAATGCCTTCTGAGGAGCCGTGCATGGCTTGACCCGGGTGCCCTCCGTTCACACTACGCAGGCTGGCGGCGAGCAGCATTCCAGCCTAGCACCTCCAGGTCTCCAGAAGGGCCCAGGTTTCTTCTTATATTCTGTGTACCTGTGTTTGCACATGGGTAGTTCTCTACATTAGGGCCGCTTTTGAGATCCTTTTTATAAGGGTGCCGTGCTATTTGGAGGATCCAAACAGGGAGCCTAATTTAGAAAGCTACCCACATACATACACGTATCCGTATGCATAAGACCAGGAGTACATCTTCTTCCATTGAGGCGGCTTCTTTCACTCATGACTGACGGTGCTTATCCGCTCGTTTCTGAACACCATTCTGCAACTGCGCCTGTACCCCAAACCCTACAAACCTAATCCCAAAACCCCCAGCTCTGACCGTAGACCCCTCGACCCCAAGACTCTCGCTCCACAGGCTTTCGCGATGAGCCAGGAGCAGACTGCCCTTGCCTTCTTCGTTGGTGCAGTCTCCATTGCAGTCCCTTTTTTGGGGTTAATGTAGGGGCCTTAATAATTAGAACAGGGTGTTGTGGTATGTTATATAAGAACTATAATAAGGAACCCCCACAGTAGTATTTAGGCCCCGCTGTTAGGTCATACAGGATCCTATATGTGAAATTGGCTTTGCCAAAAAAAAGGAACTACAATAGACGATTCGTGAGTAATCTTGGATGAGCTTCTGATCGGGTAAGCCAGGGTCGGAGAGTGGATGGGAGAGTTGGCCCGGCTTGCGACCATGAAGCAAAGTATACTGCAAGGGTAACACCAAGGCCTTAGTCATGGGACTAGAACTTGGGTGGGTGGGTGGTGGGGCGGTGCATTGCAGTCTCATTTCATAGCTTCTTCTTGCTGTATTTCGTTGAGCCAGAGCCTTTGGCACAGATGTACGCAGCTCAAGTTATAATGTGCAATGAGTCCTTCTTTGCTGTTTGTTATTCTCGTTGCATCATAGTGCAGTGTCATGTTTGGCGGGGACCGAAGATGTGACATCCGTGACGACTTGGGAAACCGAGCCTCGACAACTTGTCCGGTTTCGCTCCGGCTGCCCCGCTTCCAGGCTTGATGCCCTTAGCAACGGATACGAAGCAAAGATCCCAAACTGCTAGCATGGACACGGCGCAAGTCCGACATCTAAACCCTCAAAATGCAAGCTTGCCGCCTGTAGTACCTCTTGTCGAAACCCTAAACCCTAAACCCTAAGCCCTAAGCCCTACATGCTAAGCCTTAAGCCCTAAGCCCTAAAAACCTTCAACTCCACGCGGTAAAAAGACCGTCGGATGCCATGGTCCCGAGAACCAAACGCGCCTTGGAGGTGCAGTCGGACATTTGGGGTCAAAAGACCCTAAGGATCCATGTACCCCAATATAGTATAAGGCTGCCCTTTTAGGAGTATCCTTTTGAAGGGTTCTATAAGGGCCACAAGGGTTGAGGGTTTAGGGCCTCTGGATCCATGTACCCAAATTTGATATATATATATATATATATACTTTGGCCTTAAAGTAGCCCCTATATAGGTATTTGGGGCCCAGGTATATACTGTTGGGGCACATGGACCCTTAGGGAGAGTGTAGCGTTTCAGTTTGAGGGTTGAGGGTTTAGGTTATAGGGTTTTGGGTTGAGGGGGGTTGAAGAATGACACGTCTTCGTAGGACTTTCTGCAGATTTTATAGGGCCTTTTTGACATGAGTTCATGGTATCGTCATCGGGTTTTCGTTCGCACGGGCTCTTGCCCAGTGGCTTCGACGATATGAGGTTTTTGCAGGCTGGGTTTTGGTAGGGTTTTTGGGGCAGGCTGTAGCAATAGGAAAACTCTGTGATTTACCGTCTGTTGCTGGGGCAGGTGAGGTAAACTGGCTTCCTGGAGAAGAGCCAGGGGTTCATGGTCTAGGGGATGTATACATGTTTGAGTAGGAAGCCCTCTTAGCTCGCTCTGCACATGCAGGGGCCACGCCTGGTGAATGCTGTAGGTGCTTAGACCTTTGCCCCGACTCGTCGATTGAAGGATGCTCAGAACAGCAGGTGTTCAGGTCAGACTGGCCGGCTGACACAAGTGGTTTAAACTTAAAGCCCTAATGTAGGAACCTGATTAAGAAACCCTGGCTCTTGATTAAGGTTCTTAATGTGAACCCATATCTTGGGGGTTATAGGGCCAGGGTTTCTTAAACAGGTTCCTACATTAAACCCCGAACTCCAATGCAGCATCCATGGGGGGCGGATATCGCAGGCAAGCTTTGCCCACTCCCTAAAGGTCCATGTGCCCAAATAGTATATACTTTGGCCCCAAAGTTCCTTTATATAGGGACTACTTTAAGGCCAAAGTATATCATTATACTCTTTGGGTACATGGACCCTTAGGGATTTTTCGCGAACAACTCATGATCTTCGCATCGGAAGCGTTGGCGCCCGAGCCAGGAGATCGTTTCGGAGCTTGCCGGCGCCCCACGCAGGGTCAGATGCCAATGTAAGGCTACCCAGAGACTCCAAAATCCCCTAGTTAAGGGATATTATACCTGATATTTAACATATTGGGGTCCTTAATATGATTTAAGGTATATTCCGTAATACAGGGTTTTGGAGCCTCTAGATAAGGCTTTTTGTGATGGCGATTGTGACAGGTAGCCGTCGGCCCTGAATTGCATTAGCACGTCACTACCAGAAGACAGGAACTAGAACGAATTGAAAAGAACGGTCATGGTGATGATTTGCTACAGCAACATACTACTCATGGCAATGGTCAAGGCATGGCCATAGAGGCTTCACGTGACATGTTTGGATTCCAAATCCGAGGGGTCAAGCTTATCAAGCAAGACGACCTTTCGGTAAACACGGTTCGTCCCCTTGACATTGCATGTACATACTTAACATGTGCAGTTTTCATGAGACCTGAAATTCCTGTTGAGCCTGCAACTCCGCGAATGCTGCGAAGTCATGAAGATCAACCGCCCGACGGCCTCTGTTGAGTCAGGGAGTTTCAGAGAATCGACTGCGACCCCAACCTTTGGAACCTACATCCGCCCTACACCCTAAACCCTAAACGGAGGATCCTTCTTGTAAGGAGCCAATCCTCCCGTCTTGTTGTTGAATGTCCCTGAAGTCGATCCTGGGCTCCCTTTCTGCCTGAGGCCCAAAGCCAAAGCCAACGTTCCAAGGAGGCTCCGCACTTTTTGCCCAGAGTTTCAGGGAAATGAGCTAGAGTAGCTCAGGGAAGATGCAGGCGAGATCTTTGAGGTGTGAGATAGGATGGTTAATCGAGGGGCATAAACGATATTACCAATATTATTTGGGGGGCTCCTTAGGCCATTAGGGTAATTATAGTATAATATACCCGGAAACTCCAAAACCCTATTCTAACGGTTGAGGCCACCTGTCTTAACTGTTTTACGGCAAGTTTTGACGACAGGTTGACGGTTTGATTGTGTGTTGATTGCACGATTTGTGGAGTGGCAGGCTGTTCAGGTTGTGGAATCTTAGGAACCCGCCTAAGCCCTGTTTAGGGTCAAGGGTAACCCTAAGCCCCAACCCAGACATGTCCTTGCGACGGTCGATCGCTGGCTAGCTGCTCAGTTGGCCAGCTAGACGGACGGACAGGCACGAAGACACATCAATTCAGGTTGTTGCTTTGTTAGGCATGTGCATATAGAAAATTGCGATACATATATATATATATATACAAATACATACATATGTGCGTATGCAAGCACATCAGCATGCTTAGGTCTGTTCAATTTCATGATCGAAAATGCAATCTATATATATATATATATGTACACGTATGTACCAGGCGGTCGTATGTATGTACGTACGTACGTATTCTTGCTAGTATTGTTTATTGCGATTTTCTGCTGTCGTCTATAATCATTCATTGCTATATATATATATATATATATATTTTTATGTGTATATATATATATATGTATATATATATATATATATATATATATTTATATATATATATATATATATTCAATACGTTACTTGGGCGCAGGCCCGCTTCGGTCAGAGCAGCCTCCGAGAGAGAAGCCCATCTCAAGAGAGGCCACCGGCGGCCTTCCGGGGAGGGAGCGATGAAAGAGAGCCCTAAACCCTAAACCCTAAACCCTAAACCCTAAACCCTAAACCCTAAACCCTAAACCCTAAACCCTAAAAGCTCAGACCCTCAACTACTATAGTAAGATGTAATCTGCTCTAATAACATGCGCAATGGACCACAATATACAATAACTCATATGCTGAAAACTGCAACCTAAACCCTAAGTTGCCCTAAAGCTGTAAAACCTGAACCTAAGAAACCCTGAGTCCTATAGACCCCTACACCCCAAAGTCCTAAGCGAAGCAGCATGGAGTGTTGGGGCCTTCGGGTTGTGGGTTTGGGGAGGGGAGGGTTTAGGTTTTTGCGATCTAGGGTTTAGGGGTAAGGGTTCTGATGGCTGTTTCCTTGGTGGGCGCTAGCATGGGTTTAGCGACTGACCGAATCATCGAAGCCTGTCGCTGTCTCGGGTCCAACTTCGCAGTGTCGTGATAGAGCAGTTCAGTCATGAGTTTCACACATGTCTGTCCTAAAGTACTCGAAGAGTTCGTGGGTAAGGCTCGTTGAGGACTTGGATTGGAGCGTGGCCTGAGAGCCCTGCCAATGACTGTGGGTCTTATTTGCATGTCGGGCGTATTTCGAACAACATGTATTCTGAAGCGTGCCAGGAGCGTTTTGGGGGGCCTCTTTTCGGGGCTGTTTCGACTAAGGAGCCCTACTCTAGCTATTAAGGCTCCTTCACCAGTACAGCCTCGACAGATTCCCCCATGTCCTCTGTATTGGTTCAGCTTCTTCTAGCCTCCTGGTCATTTGGGGCTTGACCCTAAACCCTTAAACCCTAAATCCTAGGAATGACGATTTTATGGATTGAGCTCCAGCAGGCACGAGCGAGTGCGTATGCATGACGAGCGCCATCTTCGCGGCGAAGAGACACAGGTGTATTTTCCACGACATTCTGCAAAGTATGCATTTCCATTGATCCCTCTCGGCCATCGAAGTAGGGGCCTCCAACAACGAATTTATAAACGGTATCGTTTATTCTACTATACATCGTTTTTGATAGTACAATGTAGGGGCCCAAGTAATTGCCAATACTATTTTGGGTTCCTTATAGTATAATGGGCCCCAAAACCTTATTCTGATTGTTAAGGCCCTATATTGATATCATTTTTTGTAGATTTTACTAGAGGTTGAGTCTGCAGACAGACCGCACTCGCAGGCGCAGCAGACCGCCGGAGTCAAAAAGCCTAGATCAGCTGGAAGCCATCTTCGAGACCTCCAGGGCACCCCTATGTTAGACCCCAGCCAAGGGTTTAGGGTTTAGGGTAGGTTTAGGGTTTAGGGTTTAGGTATTAGCATGAAAAGAACCAGGGTGCCACACACGACTGCAGAGCTTTTCCAAAAGCATGGAGCTCTGGGCTGCGCCCTCCGTCACGGCGGCTTCTGCAAGGCACCGGAGCTGCTAGCGCATGTAGGGGCCTTAATAATTAGAATTGGGTTTGGGGGGTTCCTTCTTATGATCATAATTTAATATACCCCAAACCCCATTCTAATTATATTGCCAAAATTACAAGCATTATCCAAAGCGCAACTTCCTAGTTATTGGGCGGCAGGATGCCGTAGGGATGTGCAGGAAGGAAGGGGCAACCGCAGTCCCAAAAGTTTGACGGCAATGGTAGCATGCCGAGGCAATCGAGCAGTCACTTTCGCAGTTAGGTCAGTTCTCTCCACTGACCAAAGCCATCAGCTTGAAAATGCTTGTCTTCGACTGTCGTCATGGCTCATGCAACCAGGCACTGAGGCGTGTCAGAGAGGATTCAGATAAAGCAGACCAGCTGAACCATTGCAAAGTTGGATCGCTTTGGATCGCTAGTGAAATTCAGCATGCTCCGGAGAAGTTTCGCAGACCAAAGCTTTCAGCTTCCGCACCCTCGAGCTTTCCATTTGCAAGGCTGCCTCTGTGTGGTGCGCCCGCCTGCCGCCGAGCACAAAGCTCCACGAAGAGGCAAACAATCTAAAAAAAGAGGGGCCTTATAATAATTAGAATAGGGTTGGGGGGGCCCATATTATACTATAATTAGTTATAAAAGGGAGCTCCCAAAATACTATAGGTAATTATTAAAGCCCCTATTTGAGGCCTTAACACTTTGCAGGGTTTCGGGCCAGGCCACACCAGGCTTTGCCTCATGAGGTCAGCTGAGAGGTTTGGTGAGTGTGTGCTGCAATATGCCCTAAGCCCTAAATCCAAAACCCTAAAGCTTCAGAGCCCTAAGCGTCTAAAACCTACAAGGAGGCATGCCTGAATGATTCACTGAATGATCCTTGAAGTAGCCCATCCACCCCTTTAGATTTCCTTAAGGAACCCTTTAAAGGAACCCCTAGAGTTACTAAGTCCCACGAACCTCCAAAGTGCCTGAGGCCGCTGCGTGTGCCGGCCACACTGGCGGTGGGCGCTGCAGGTCTTGCGGCTCGGAGGCGGAGGCTGTCGTAGCTATAGACGATGTGTTAGTTAGACTACTAAACTATTAAACGACGATGTATTAATTAGACTACTAAACTATTAAATGACTACGTATTAGTTAGACTACTACACTATTAAATTTGGGGTTTAGGTACGATGCAGTAGACTGTGGTGTATTAGGGTATATACACTAGACAACAGTGTATGAGCTCTTGTAGATTACGGTACATTATGCATACCACGCTGGCATGTCATAGCATATTATAGTATGGAATGCTGGAGCTCACAAGCCTAAGCTCAAAGCCCAAACTCAAGGGTGACCGAGTGCCGTGCCAGGTTGTCAAACCATTGTTTTCTCGTTGTCGGCGTGGGCGCATATCCAAAGGAATCCCAGCGATTGTCTCCATTGTGGGTCCTGATGTCACCCAAGTCTCAGATCAGTGGCACACCAGCGGGTGATTCCGAAACACACAAAGCTTCAGGAGCTGAGGGGGATTCAGGAGGTTTAGGCTGTAGGGGTCTGTGGGTTTAAGGTTTTGGGGCTGGGCCCCTAAACCCTGCATCCGGGTTGGGAGCTCTGCCATCGCAAGAGCTGAATCAGCGCTTGCGTCCTCGCCTCCGTCTGTGACAGGCTGCGTCGCGCCCGGGCTGCGGAGCCAGAGGCTTGCTACTACAGGGGCCTTAGAATAATTAGAATTGGGTTTTGTGGGGGGGGGGGGTATATTATACTATATTTATGATAAGGCACCAGCAAAATAGTATAGGAATTTATTTAGGCCCCTACATTACTCGCAATCCTCGTGTCGGAGAGAGGTCTCCGGAAGTCTTTGCGTGCCGCCATTGACAGAGCAGAGAGAAAGGCCAGGATGAGGCAGGAAGAGCTCTCCAGGAATCTCGAGGTGTGGCGATAACAGAGAGTGAGCAAACACTTGTGTCGCGAATTGAAAATATTTAGATATCTACTTGAACCTGATCCATACAGGAGCTGCCTTACTTGTGCCTTCGTAGTGAGAACAAATTACACAGATGAGCACAGAAAGTTGCGCAAGTGGGTAAAGCAGAGCAGTAGTGAGCCAAGACCCGTCGATGGAGACCGCAACAAGTCACAGGCTTTTCAGGTGCAAGCTGCAAGCATCATATCTCATATCATACCAGCGTTTGTTTTGTGAAGGCTAGGAGGGTGTCGTTCCTGCGCAGGAGGTCGGCGCAGACGCCAGCCCAGGAGATGCAGCCTTCCTCTCAGCACGCTTCCGTTCAAAACAGCTGCAGACACAGCGCGTCATGAGCTGCAAGTGCCAGGTCATCGATGACGTCGAGTATTTCTTCGTCAGTGGAGGTGAGGAGGAGGTCGCAAGTGGTGAGTGCGGCTTTTGATTGATCTGCAGGCAGACATGCTGCACCTCGGAGTAGTCTGGGCTGCATCAACAATTGTGGTGCTCACCATCCTGTTGTCTCTGATACCAATGGCCCAGGCCGGTCTCACCAGCCCGAAGCAAGCAGGATAGCTTGGTGGTCAAACCAAGAGGCTGAATAGCCTAAACCTCGAACCCTGGTAGGTAGGCAGGCAGGCAGGCAGGCAGGCAGGCAGGCAGGCAGGCAGGCAGGCAGGCAGGCAGGCAGGCAGGTAGGTAGGTAGGTAGGTAGGTAGGCCCTAAAGCCCTAGCCCCAAACCCCCAAACCCCTCAAGTCACAAACCCCTGAACCCCAAACCTCCAAAACCCAAAACCCCTCAGGGCCGATTGTCTGCAGACTGCTCGCATAAAGCCCCAACTTATCGACAGTAATAATAAGGAAAGTATTGTTATTATGATTAGCATTGCTATGAGAATTCTTATTATCATTAGTGCTATCATTAGTACGGTCATTACTCTCACAACCCTAAGCCCAAAACCCTAACCCCTCTCAACCCCTAAGCGGAAGCTGCAGCCAGGATCAGACCGTTACGAAAGAAGTGCTCGAGAGGGTCAACATGGTCACCAGGCGAACGAGTCTTCTGAAAAGGGTTTTAGGGTGTAGGGCTTTAAGGTGTAGGGTTTCGGATTTAGAGCTTAGGGTTTAGGTACTTACGGTTTGAGGCTTAGTGTTCAGGGGTTTAGATTGTAGGGTTTAGGGTCAAAGGTTTAGGGTTTGAAGGCTGAGGGCTCCCTCTCATTAGTTAGAAAATGGTGGTATCTTGTACATTCATGTTCTAGAAGGTTATGTAGTGATTAGACAAGGGGTTTGATTCAAGAGCTCCTACTCTTAATACTTAGAGTAGGCTTCCGGTTCCGCAGGAACCGTGGTAGGGAGTCACACAGCGAGTCCGGAGCGAGTTGGTGGGTTGCGAGCCGCAGGCGGGACGCACCCAGACCGTGCCGGAGCCGTCCGGGAGCGTGGCCTCCAGACTGCATGGCGCGCGTGGGTCGACCCGGATCGCAGCAGAAGGATCCCCTCTGTCCGAGCAAGAGCTTACGCCTTTCCTGTCGGACCTACGTCAATTCCTGAACATCACGGATGTTTCGACTTCGTTTTGGGAAGGGTTAGGGCTTCGGGCCGCTACTGTTCAAATAGGGGCCTTAACGATTAGAATGGAGATTTCGTAGGGCATGTTGAGGCTGTACATGGGCTTCATTCAGGGCTGCATAGAGTTACTATATCGGGCTCAACGGGCCTTAATGCTCAGAGCAAGGTTTGGGAGTACGGGCACAGTATCCTAGAACGATGCAGGGACTAAAAGGGCACAAAACTCAGCAAATGGGGATGAAGGTGGCGGTCGATGTTCCAAGATCTCCACAGAACCAAGGGCAGGCTAAGCTGTAGTTAGGGGCCATTCGTCCAAAGGTGGGACGGGATTGGGCTCTATGCTCTATGGTGCATGTCAGCCCCACACTGTCTAGAAGCAGAGACCTGGTACGGTTTAGGGTTTTAGGGTTTAGGGTGTAGGGTTTAGGGTTCAGGGTGTAGGGTTTAGGGTTCAGGGTTTAGGGTTTAGGGTGTAGGGTTTAGGGGTTAGGGTTGTGTGTGTGTGTGTGTCTTTCACGAACTTGTGTCAGCTGCTGCGAGGATTCATAGGTTGCTGCATCTTTCTCGGCTGCTTGCACGACCTGTGTGTATACATGTATATATATATACACACACACATATACACACAGAATATATGTACATAATATTGTATATATCTCTCTCTCTCTCTCTCTTCTTTGTGTATATGTACATAGGACATGTATATATGCATATATACATACACACCTATAATGCGTATACAGAGAGAGAGAGAGAGAATGCCGCCCGCTGCCAGGGCCCATCAAGGACTCTACAAGGCGCCGGAGGCATCCCAGTGAGCTGAAGACGCTTCTCAAATCCAGCGGGTGCGAGCTTGGGGGATGGAGCACGCAAGGGAGCCACCGATAGTCTCCGCTGTTTCTGGTTTACCGAGTCCAAAATATTAAGGATTCCAAAGGTTAACCCCAAAAAGGAGCTACAATGGAGCCTATAGGTATAGAGGAAGTTTGCTAGTTAAAAAGCTGCGAATTTGAGCTGGGCCCCTGAATCTTCGCCTGTGATGTCGCAGGGAGTTCCCGACACGGAGCAGGGCGTGGGGGCGTGCCCCGGCAGAAGGGCATCTAAAACTCTTTACAGTAAACCAAAAGTTCGAAACCGGATTAAGACCAATAAGTGCCGGGATTCCCTATACATTGCTCTAAAGGATTGATGCTATTGGGTTTCCAGCTTCTGAACCTCTACTGTTTAGGGTTTAGTGTTTCGCCATAAATATCCGAAGCTGTGTAAAACTGGATGGCAAAACATCAGTTCGGGATGGCGTTCGTTCACCGTTTTCCGGCAATGTGCAAGTCTCATGGATAAAGGTTCTGTGAGGCTTCCACGAGAGGTTCCTGTAAGGGTTGCTGCAAGGCCTCTACAAAGATCAGGTTGGGCCCACATTGACAGTGAGAAACCGAGGTGTCTTTTCGCTGTTCTTCCTTCTTCTGCACAGCTTGAACACCCCAAAGGGCTCTCCTCGCGCTCTGCTCCTGCCTTGCTTGTCGTCTTAGTGCCACTCCCAACCCCGAAGCGGCAAGCTCTGATCTAGTTGAGGCTTGCGGCGAATTTCCGGAAGATCAAGCCCTAAACCCTAAACCCCCGCCTCCGAGGCTGACTGGAGCTTTGACTTCTTTCCCGACGGAGCAGGAGTGGCAGGTGGCAGCGGAGCAGCCAAGTCCTCCAACCTTCTTGTTTGGTAGTAACGTAGGGGCCTGAATAATTGGAATAGAGTTTTGGGGGCTCCTTATTTATTATAATTATCGAATATTATCTATATTTTTCACCCAAACCCTATTCTAATTGTGAAGGCCCCTATATTACCCTTGATGGAGCACGAGCTCAAGCCGGGGGATTTTGCAGGGCTTCTGATTATCTCATGCAATCTTCCTGCCTTGACTCGGACGTTCTGCTGAAAATATTCCCTAAACCCGAACTTCCTAAAGCCTAAACCCGAACTTGGGCCCAACCTTACCACCCTATACCGTTTTCCCGAAACCCGAACTTGGGCCCAACCTGGGGAGAGTGCCGCCAGGTGGTCGGCAAGACGAAAACTGACGACGACCGAGAGAAGTTCCTGGTAAGTGTTCCTGTGCGAGCACTTAACGGGCTTAGGGTTTAGGGTGCCCTGGTCCTGTTTTGACATCCTGGTGCAGAGTGTTAACATCCCTACACCCTAAACCCTGAACCCGCCTGGGCCCACGAAGGTTCGAGAAGCTGTTGCGCAGCACACGGGCGAGCTGGCGGAGGATGTCGTGTCACCCAGAAGGGTAATTCTTCTAAATTAGGGTCCTTTTTGAAGGTATACAGGGTGCCGTACTATTTTGGGTGCCTGAAAAGGGACCCTGATTTAGAACAGAAACAGAGGGGCTCGGGAAGTGGGGATCAGGTTCGGGGTCGCTGCTGAAACCCTAAACCCTGAACTCCCAAACCCCTAAACCCTAAACCTCCAAACCCTAAATCCCTTATAAACACTCAACCCTAAACCCTATGAAAACAATCGCACGAAGATCTAAGATCCAAGCTTCGTAAGCCAAGACCAACTACAAACCACTGGCAGCTATGCCTTGCCAGCAAAGAAAAGAAGTTTGAAGAATTTGCAATAAAAGTCTCCTTTAGCGTTCCTTATTGTATAGATATGCTATGACTAGAATATACCCCCGAAACCCTGCTCTAGTTCTTGCCAAGGTCTGAAGCTTCGCCGATCGATATAGTATGACATAAGATACTACAGTATAACATGAGATACTCTGATCTAACCGAATATATTTTCATATAAGACCATCAACTGTAAGCTAACACAGTTTACGATGAGATAGTCTGCTCTAACTTAATATGGGTAGTTTTCTAAATCAGGGTGCCCTTTAGGCTCCTTTTTACACGGGTGCCGTGCTACGTTGGGGACCACCCATCTAAACATCAGCCTCCCAACCAGGCCCTGTCGGTAACTACCCGGCTCAATGGCAGATACACGTCGGCCGCGAGGCTCAAAGACGGTGTGGTGGGTTTAGGGTTTTTTGGGTTTAGGGCGTGAAATCTAACTGCAGACGTGCCTATTCGGACACTGCTTGTTTCAAGCATCTATCACCTGTCAGGAACGGGGGAAAGCTTTCGCATAAGGTTTAGTGTTTGGGGGTTTAGGGCTTNNTAGGGTTTTGGGGTTTAGGTTTCTTTTCAGGTGTAGCTCCCTTCTGTTCTTGGTGTCGCTGTAAAAATCTTTCAGCTTTGCTTGGAGGATCGTGATGTTCGTAGAAGCCAGCGGTAGAACACCGGAGCGTCATGTCCGACGTTCCAAAGCAAGTTCATGCATGTGACATTAGGAGCTGGAAGTTTTAACATTCGCCAGGGTTGCTGGTTCCTGTGTGGTGTTTTTGCGGCTTGGGGGGCTGAGCTAAAGGCACATGTTGCGATTTAAGTCGGTGTTACTTACTTGGCTTCGCTTGGCGGTGGGGGGGGGGGGG